GAATGAAGGAGATAAGTCGTGACTGATCTCCGAATTCGTTATGATACATTAATCTAGCCACAGGCTTGAATGATTTCACCTAACATCAGTTAGTTTTAGTTAATAATCATCAATGAAATGACCCTATTAAGCTTGGTTCACATGTTTGATTCACTTCCGCAGACCTTATTTTCTTATTCTCTATTAGTACATAGTCGGAGTCTGATGATTCATCGAATCAATAACAAGGAATGCACTTGGGAGGGAGCCACGTGTGGAGACATTTTTTTGAAGATTATTATTCTTATCATTCGAAGTAACAAAAAGAGGTAGACATTTTAATATAGTTTGTTTTTTATGCCCAAGTCGCATTTTCAAGATCATTGTTGGTGGGTGGCGACACAGCCACAATACCTGAGCACTGGAGATAAATAGTGCCATCTATATATGCGGGACACCTTGAGAACCAAAATCTGATGTCCAGATCGAAAGAGGATAATTTAATAGTAATGATTTTACAGCAGCATATAGCATTACTATTTAAATTTGATAGAAAAGAAGCAGGAATTTGTTTTTTTTTCTCAAACTTTTTTAAATTTATTTTATTACATATCGACATTTGGAAGAATAAAACTTCATTATCAAAATATAAATGAGAATATTACAAAAAAATAGAAAATTTTACATGGAACAAAATAAGAAGGGCGTGGGTATGAGTCTTGGTCTAGGTCTGTGACTGTGACTATGGCTATGAGTCTTTACTTTACTGACACTTGTACCCCATACCTATACCCATATTCACACCAATACCTAACTCCACATCTCACACACACACACACCTACACTCGGATCCACACTCAATTATGATTTCACCGTGCTTTCTTTTCTTCTCTACTTCAAATCACACTGTCCATTGAATTCACAATGATAAATACTCTACCAATTCAGAGCAGAGATAATCATTCTGGAAAAACACATCTCAAGTAGCGTTCACTTGATGTCGATTTACTTCCTCCCAAGACTGAAGGACTGTGTGTGATCACTGAAATTACATCTCGAATTTCTCCAGACAGATTAAAAATCTCTTTCTGTGACACAATTGGAAGATATCTTTCGGGATCGATGCGACGTGTGGACTTAGGAATATGTAGCTAAAGAAAAACCCTGGAAAGTTTATACTGAGATCTTTTTGTTTTCGATTAGTTGGAAAATACCTAACGGAGAGCACACACTGATGTAATACCGAGAATTTCAAATTATATGTTGATTTTCACATTGGTTCAGCACACTACAATATGAAATGGCATTGATTTTTCTAGCTTCGTCCAGTATACAGATAAAAGCTTTCAGTGTAATCTCTAAGAGATTAAATGTGAAACACGACGGAGTCGCTTTTATTGTGCATGAAGATTCTCGCTATGCTGATCACGATCCACAAGAAGAAAAAAGAAGAAAAAAGTCAAAATGTCCGTTATGGTCCGTAAGGGCAATTCACTTTTCTTGCTATATACTTCAATATTCATTCCCAATCGTGTTTCAGTAAAGAATGTGTAGTCGACCTGCTCTACTTGCAATTCAGTACATTCTTTTGAAACATCTTGACAGTTAATCTCACTGACCAGTGATTATTTTTACATTACAATTCACAGGATGAAATAACTTGTGTCACTGACACATCCACATACTCATCTCGAATTGACTGGTTGTGAACGTCTTTAGGAGATTTATTGATTGCAAAGATGTCCATTGCAGCTGAAAACCTGCCATAGACATAGACAATATAAGCTCATGCACTGCTACCGCGATAGTATTCAAAATATGTTTGAAATATTACTAATATCATTATAAGATGAATCCGGTGAATTTCTAACAATTTTTAGAAGAAGAGTATTCTGTGCCAATGCTCTGAAAGAAAGCTTGTTTTGTGATTTTAATGGTCTAGTTAGACGTAACATTGTCGAAAACGGTTTGACCTAATAATTAAAACTCTTTTCGACATACAAAGTGTGAAGACTCACATCATTTTTTAGGAACACCCCACATATATAAAGGGTATCCCATGATAACTGATGATAAATTTTTAATCATATTTTCCATATTTTCTATTGACATAAAGAGCTGAAAATTTTATTATATATATGAGTGAAGAGCGCACCAATTGTATCGTTGGATCTCGCAAAGAAAAATGTCTATAAGTTCAGTTTCACTCAACCGATTTTGATAATCATTTTTTATTTTACAGGTTTAGAGATGACCATTCACTTCTGAAAAAATCAGGTTTCCATCTCTTTTAGTTTATGAGATATCATAGCAACAGTGTAAAATATCTAGCTTCCAACGTCACCTGCTGGAAGAAGATCAGTTTTTCTTTATCCCACTACAATTTTTTTAAATTACTTTTTTAGCTAGACATGTAGAGCTCGTCAAGTACTTTCGGAATATGTTGTTATTTTTTGCTTTAGACAAAGTTTTATGAATGAAAAGCCATTGACAATGCGTGTTGAGACACTTTCAATTTTTGTTTAGAGCAGCATTGATATCACTGGTATTTCCTTTGAAGAAATTCCGTTTGAAGAAATTTGCTTGGATATCAAAGAGAAATGGGAGGAAAAACACTTTGACAAGAAAAAAAGTTTGTCTGATAAACTTCGTTAACAGTAAAATTTTATGCGAAGTTAAAAAAGATTATGTTGACGATAAATGTAAAGCGACATTTCCAATTTTCTCATTGCTATAACTCAATGAAAACTAAATCGTTCGTGATTAAAGTTTGATCCTTTTTTTACCTCACAGAGTACATAAATATTCCAAAAAGTCAAATAAAAATCTTTTTCCGTTCGGGAGAAAATGCAGTTTTACTAACAAAGTGTAGAGCGACATTAACGTCATTGGGATTTCGTTTTAAACAAGTTTTATTTAAACAAACTTCATTGAGTATCAAGAGAAATACTAGGAAAAAATTTTTAACATGTAAAATAATTTTACTAACAAAGTGCTGAGTGACTTTAGTGGAATTAATTTATACTAAGACCGTTGGAGCATATAGAAATTGGCTGTAATATCATAAATCTCCACCACAGTGCATGAAAGTGTTGAGAAAATATTATTTTTATACATGTTTGATATCGCCCTATTAAACACAACATTTACTTTTCCTTTATCATTAAGTTTAGTTTCTTCGATTTTTTCCCGAATGATACAATTGGCGCGCTCTTCACTCATATATCTAATCAAGGTCTTTTACTTTTGAAAGTTTCAGCTCTCTATATCAATAAAAAGTATGAAAAATATGATTAACAATTTATCATTCATTATTATGGAATACCCTGTATATGTGTGGAGTGTTCCTAACAAATGATGTGAATTTCCACACTCTGTATGTCTAAAAAGGTTGTAATTATTACTTCACATCGTTTTCGACAATTTTACGTCTAACTAGATTATTAAAATGGAAAAAAATTTCCTGAAAAATGGTAGAAACCTCATGGATTCACCCTATATTGAATTGGAACTGTTGCTAGTAATCAATGAGATCCGCTCAATCTTGGAGTGCCCCCTATGTTGACACTACGCATCGCCTCTGTCACAGCGGCACTCACCGCGGCGCGACAGACATCTCTGATTGGTGGAAACAATTATTCATTCAAAAATATCTACTTTCATGGAAAAATTTTGAATTTTTCTTTTCTGTCAAAACAAATGTTAAACAGACTTCTCAAAAACTCATGCTGGTAATTCGAGAAGCTTGATATAGGCAATATGTAGAGTACCTTGTATGAACTCTGCTCAAAGTAAAACTTTGAAATAGGACTCAAGTTAAGCAATAAATAATTAGGTGGATTGGGTTAGTGTAAAAGCACACAGTGTTTGTAAGAGGATGTTGATTCTGTTTATGACGTACATATGCATTAAGAGAGCAAGGTTATTGAGAAGAAAAAGCTGCGCCTCGGATGCCACATGAAAGAAATGTAATGCCTATCATGTGCACGACGGCTAAGAATCTCAACAAAAGAACACGTTTCTATTATTCTTGTAATGCAGTATAACCAGAAGCAATCCGAGGGCTACTTGCGGTATTCAACAACGATGGTGATGAAAACAAATAAAACGAAGTCTTTTGTATTAATGAAATCACAATATATTCGTTTCTACTTATAACATTATTGCAGTATTTGTCCTACACAATATAGTGTCACTCATGATGATTAATGAAGAAACAGAATCAACCTACACAGGATAAGATATTTGTGGATGAATAATACCTATTATGCAGTTCTGTTTCGTACTCATCTGTACTGTTCCCATGCAACTAGGAAAGCATCATTAGTTGTCTTAGCGACAAAAATAGTTCAAAGAGTTATTGAAGATAATGATGAAAAGAAGATTCACACGAAAGTCGTTATCAGTCCAAGAAAGTGAGACTCTCGAGAAAGTATTCGTAGGCCTTCAGAAAAGAAATCAACAATATGACTATGCGGATCCAAAATCATTCGATCAATTGCCACAATATTGAAAAATGAACGCTGCAAGTTATAAAAGCATCAAACTCCTATTCATGGAGAGACTAGCTTTCTGTTTCACTGTTCCCGCTCACGCGTGAAGTATAGATAAATTTCATGTATATTTCGTTAACATATTAAGAAAAACAATACATGTCACACTATTTTTTCGAACTCCCAGAAAAATTCTATGGACACGTGATTTGAAGAACGGCTTTGGATGGCGTGTTATCCGTTCCAGGATATGGGACAACATCTTGAAGGGTAACATTGTACGCAGCTGTACCCAAAGTCACTTGAGCACTATTTTGAGGTCGTGCACCAATAATCAGATCTACAGTACGCGAAGCCTTCTTTTTTAAAAGACGCAGTTGCACCTTCGCTTGTCCAGCCCAGATACATTGTACGTTTTTTGGACATCGGCTTTCTTGAATAGAATTGACGCGAAGCTTGACATCACGACAAACTTTCTTTATTCCATGCATCGGAAGAGTTGGAAAATCTATATGTGATTTTCGTTTTTTAGAAGCCGCAATGCCCACATAGAAGATAAGCACCATAAATGTGAGGACTATCAACACACGCGAATATAACATGACGACTTTCTTTGAATGCAGAAAGGCTGGTTCGACTAGAAATATGCAAAGATTATTTGAATAAGCATATGGATATAATGAATAAATTTTTATTCGATACGTGCTGTATATAACACACTGGAGGCGGAACGAGAGAAAAGAAGACACATATGCGCCTAGTTTTTTTTGTTTCGCATGTCATGTCAGTGACTTTCGATATCAATAATATCCATGATATAATCTTTGGTCACATTTTTTGCAGACACAATTAGTCAATGCGCGACTTTGGATGATTATAAACAAAAGACAACTTTGACATGAGGATAAAAGCAATTCCCATATTTTAGGTTTTATTCTGAAACCTACCCTTATTTGAAGAGTTAGTTCTTCTTTCTTGTCATCATCGAGGTTAACAGGTAATAATTTTCCATTTTCTCTTTACCCGAGAATTCGTCTTTCTGGTATAAAAAATACCTGTTTACAGAACGAAAAGGTTTGCAAGGACATAGAGGTTTGTCATTAAGGAGTTCTATTCTAACTTTTCTGCATATTTGGATGTAAGTATGAGTGTGGAAAAACCTTCGAATCACACCCACACTCTCGAAGAGCCCTTATGCACACTACAGAGCACAGTTTTCAAAGATCAACAGAAATGTTTGTTTAATTTGTCTTTATGGTTTGAAACAAGAGCAGACAAATATAAATGAGCTCTATCAACCCATGAAAATTGTTGATATCCCATATTTGCACCATTCTTATGCCACTTTCGTTACTTTTCTGTCTATAGCCATTACTTCTCTAGGGTTTTAAAGGGTATTTAATGTTGACTTTGTTGAGAAAGTTCCGTTCGACGCTATCAAAATGCAAATAGATGTCGAGCAAAAACTTAGGCGGTCATTTATGCTAGAGCACCATTATTTTCTAGCGCTATGCATTCGCTATCGAATCATGGGAAAATTAAATTGCTTTGCACTTATGATCATTCGTCGTGACAGAAAAATACATAGCAAAATTTTAGAGCTAGAGGTATTTCAACAAAGTTGTCATTTCTTCAAATCTGCATGCTCATTTTGTTTTCCTGAAAAATCTCTTATAATTTTTATCTTCATCATAGGGTTTCGAATAATACAAGCATCAAATGAGCCTATTATCACACTTCTTCATTGTGACTTGAAAATTTTCTGAATAATCCGAACCACAGAGGTATTTTATGGGGAAATAAGGTTTTCTCAAGAGCTACCAGCTCGAATTCTGTTGATATCGCAAAAACAGCTACTATCTAATTAAAACTATTCGTTCTGAAAATAATACCCTAAGCATATTCTTTCACAAAATCCAGTTGAAGAGAAGCTCTTCCACGAAAATTTCATGAAGCAATTGTTTTCTGCACAGCGTCATATCTAACTTTTAGCGAGGTCAAATCTCTTCAAGTACTAAAAGGAATACAATTCTGAACGACTTTTTTCTACGTTGGAACTCACAAAACGTATTGACAATTCTTACTATGGACGCTTGGTGAGAAAAGTGACACTACAATAATTAATGTCTACTATTCATTTCATACAGAACTTCCAAAGATTTTTGTCGGCTGAAAAATAATTACTGTGATACAAAAACAATATTACACAAGTTTACGAGAGAACATTCCCAAGTGATCCGCGCTGTTTACATTCATATTATACCCATATGTAGGCGATCATTAGATTAGAATAATCTCCAAAGAGTTCATGCTCTTGTTGAGATGTGGCCGAAATTTCTAATTTTTCGTGAGTTTTTCCTATAGGACGTTAGTTTTCGAGTAAAATCATATCTTCGAATTTTCATCTAAAACTTTGTCAACATGAAGGTCTTGCTACGATTAGCTTATATATAGAGTTTTATCATTTTTAGATATTGCATCTTTGAAATACAAATTTTTTCAAAAAAGGTACTATTCTACAAATATATATGATGCAAAGTATTGATATGTTGACAGATTCATATGTCAGTAGAACATATGATTTTATTCGAAAATTAATGTCCTGTAGGAATAATTCACTAAAAATTCAATATGTCAGTCAAATCCCAACAAGAGCACAAACCATTTGGCGATTATTCTAATCCAATAGTCCTCTATAAATGGGCATAATATGAATGTGAACAGAGCGGATTACTTGGGAATGTTCCTTCGTTATTGGTATTACTTAAGGATAGAAAAATCCGCTGGACACTGATGATGAAAAACGTCTTCTGAAGAGTATCTAATTTTTAAAAAAACTTACGTTTGCTCAGTGTATTCTTACGAAATCTTTTGTACTAACGAGCAGAGTAATGGTGTAATAAATCGAAGCTATTCTATGCAAAAAAATGAAAGCATTACGTTGTTTATACAGACATCGAAAAAATAAGTTTGGCTTGTGTGCATTCATCCATATACGTAAAATAGCACATGTTCATATAGTATTGAGATATCTTACTTTTTTTCATACCTATATTATCGTTTTTTTGCTTGTTCTCTCACTCATCGCTCAAGCAGCTTAATCGATGGAGAGAGGGAGAATAAATCGAAGGTTGGAAAAAATGTGTACTATACCATGGTTTAATTTGTTTCTTTTGGCTAGTATTCATTTGGGCAATAAAAATACTGGAATGAGCAATAATTAAAATACGATTTAGCAATAATTTTTGAGTAATAAAAAAACTTTATTTGAGTAATTTTATACTATTAAATGTACAATAATTAATTCATTAAGTAGCAGTAGTAATTTCATATTTTAGCAATAAAACAAAGAAAAACTACATTATTTTATATGAATTAGAGAAATAGAAAAGTTATTTACAATTGAAAAAAATAAGAAAAATGAAAAAACAGTATATTGTTGGGTGAATAAACCTTTTTTTGCTTTAGATGGTCTGTCTCTTTTTGTTTTTATATTTTATTTTATGAAATTCGAAAAAATACGTATTTGTATATAGAAATGAATTCGTATTACCCCGTTGTTAACGGGTGATTGATTTGACAGATCAATAAAGAGCTATTACTTTATTGCAGAAATGGTAACTATGTATATATATATGAATAAGCTAGAAAAAAACTAAACATCCTAGAGAGAAAACATGACAAAGAATGGAATATATCTGAACAACATCAAGAGAAGAGAAATATTTAGATGATGAAAAGGAAAGAAGAGAGAAAGAAAATAAAAGATATATAAGCGAGTCACACTATAACACCCTTTTAATATAAAATCTAAGGTGGAAGCAATGCAAAATTCGAGCAGTTTTTATTTTTTCGATTTTTATACATGGTTAGATGCAG